GTGTTATGTTATTTTTATGCTTTCTGATTCGATGATGGAGGTCAGGGCAGCAAAGCAGAAATTCACAGCCTCAGGGTATGCTAAGTGTTGGTGTAGGCATTACTTCCACCAGTGAAGGTACATTATGTTACTTATAACCTGTGACGTACATACAGGATAAACAATGATATGTGCTTTGATCAGAAGGTGGTGTTGATGAGGATGTACAATGTCCACCATTAGTGTCATATTCAGGGCATCAGCGCAGGATCCAAGGGAGCTGTTTGACTGTATTACATGATAGTTTGACAGAAAATCAAACAGAAGACACATTTGGGCCATACCTTGTTGATCCTGCCTTCAGGTCAGTCAGTGTATTGGACATGTAATATACATTTCCATTTAGTTGTATTTGCTTATTGCTAAGTGTATTTCACATGAGTGGGAAAGTACTGAGACCTCCTTTCCCACATAACACAACGCTTTGTTTTAATTTACAACTAACTGTATAGCCCTGTATTACAAGATATGGATTCGTTTTTTGCACTTGTTGGGCAGTCTCAAGGACGCTGGTGTTTCAACGGCTCTAAGTAAACCAGATACAACACACACAATCTTCATTCAGACTTTCATTTTCTTGCTGTGAATATGGGGCTCTGTACTCTGTATAAGACAATCTCTTGACTTTAATCTTTATTTGAAGGATTTCCACCACATCAGCTATAGGTTTTTAATATTTATTGATTTGGCATCTCAGGATAGGATTTAGCTTTTTTAAGATCATGATGATAACAACCTGTGTTATAATGGTGGTCCTTTGGCTTTACTTAATTTTTGGAAATTCAACAGGGCCGTGTGCTTTATCTGTATGAATTCAACTTTATTTTTTTTCTTCTGACCTTATAAAAACATAAAAATGTCGTGACAAATGAACAGTAGCCTATATAAAGCAACATTACACCAATTTAGAACATATTATGTGCTGTATTATCTTGCACTATTGAAAGACAAATGTAGGCATCATTTTACAAACAATAGTACATCATATTTTATTATATTTTATAACTTTACATTCATGGATGTGCAAACCGCATTTTGAAAACCAATAATGTATAATGAAAGTAGTACCAAAACACAGTTTTTTGCATATATATAATATATATTTGTATTTCTGGGATTTGCTTTCTGACTTGATTTAACTTTTAGTTTATTCTTTTTAAATTTAGTATATTTTAGGTTGTGAGCTCGTTGGCTTGGTTGAATTGTAAGAAAATGTCTTCAAGCTCCAAATAAAGTGTTAACTTAATCAACATTTAGACTGACCTTGATGGTCTGGGCATAGAGTGAATGTTGCCCAAGGAATAAATGTGCAGGTAGCAATTGAGTTTTATTCAAAACACATTTATAACATATAAGTAGTACTCAAACGTAATTTTAGGAAGATACGGTTGGGATGCAAGTACACAAAGCTTCACACCAATGGATCACACAATTGTTTTTGAACTACTGAGCAAAATTACTTATAATGCCTGCCGGATTAAGCATCATTGCACAACAAGACATTTTTTATGAGATTTGTGTGACATACTTCAACTTTCATAAAATACACAACTGATTTTTCATCACTTTCTTCATGAAAAGAGAGACCTAACATTCTCCCACTGAATTTGCAGAGAAAGGACTGTGACAACATTCATGTCTCATTATAGTTCTCATCCAGCTCATTACTGTCATCTTGGACATTAAAGAGGAAGTATTGAACAAATAACTTCCCTTGCTAATAACTTAAAATGTCATCCTCAAAAAGGTATTATTTTGCGTCCTTTGAGAGCTTCTTTTATATTTGGTCCATAGCACCAAAAAACACATAGAATAGTATCAAATAACACCACATACTCATGTGTTATCACGCCTAGCGCTGACTCACTTTGTACTTAAAAAATCTGCTGCCAAAATGCCAAGTGATGCCCCGTTGCCTCCACAGCAATCTGCTCATGTTCCGTAACGGCAAATGTTTAACTCACATTCGTGCTCGACATCACTCTCTTTCTCTCTGTGTATCTTCACTACATGACTTGAATCAATAACATCACAAGTGTTGCAAATGCTATCAGCAACATGAATCTTCTTTGTCATGGAGGTGTGAATATTTTTGTTTGTCTCTGTGTTTGCGCATAGTGTCATTTCTAATCTGAGAGGGGAATCACATAACAGTTGTTGTGGAAGTCGGAGCCAAACAGTAGCTTTCTCTATTGACATGTTTGTTTGTTAATTTCTTTCCTTCCCTAATCCATGCCCAGTGCAGAAATAAGCACAGACGTTCCAACAGGAAAATAATTTTCTGCCAATACAAATTAGGTTTCGTGAAAACAATCACAAATTGACAATGCTATTGTCTTCAGCATGTAGAAATATAGATGTAGCTTGGATGTTTGCCAAGATTAGAAGACTATAACTTTTCAAGGTTGCAGCTAGAAAATAATTCGAATGCTTTGGAATGGAATCCTTATCACCGTATGAATAGCCGTTGACAGAATAAAGTAGGCTGGAATAGTTTAGAAATGACGTAGTTTGAAAATCACTCCTTTGTTCTTTTTATTTTTAGATTTACAGACCTTTCTAACCTACTAGTACACTTCAAAAGACCTGAGTGATTAATAGTATTAATAATGTTAATGTCGTGAAAATAACTGAACAGATTGTTTTAGAGTTCATTTATGGCTATATATATATAGCATTTGTATGTGTACATTATATTTTTCTATTTGTCGAAATCTAGTTCCCATGATTTCTTCCCCCCAAAGACAATCGAATGTGTGAAATGTGATAATGAAATATAGCTTTGTAATGTATAACTGGATGGGTATCGTTTGAAATGTATCGATTCCGATTCCGGTTCTGCTTATCGATTCCGGTTCTTATAGATTCCCCGTTTCGATTCCAAAATTGTAAAAGAAAGAGGTCAAACGTTTAGATAACAAAAATATATTTATTCATTTAAGCTTTAACTGACATTTTTACAAATACAAAATATACATGTAATCAAGGGTGTAACTTTGGTTTGAGAAGTGGGGGGGGGACACAAAACAGGGGGTCCTCCACAATGAAAAATGTTCTCAATTTAATTCCATTTCCTGCCTTTCTACTAATATATTAGGGACTAGAGTGTTAACAAATCCAAGAAAAATGTGTAGTGTATATGATGAGTGCGCAAACTTATCTAGTATCCTATCCATGTGAACCTGTTTTATTTATCCCAACTGACTTATCATTGTGTAATGCATTTTTCTGTTTAAGTTGTGGATCAAAGCTCCAGGCCAGGATGTAGATTTTGTAAGGGTTTCTTTGTGATATAACTAAAAGGCTTGAATGTATAAAAAAAGAGAAAAAGTTAAGGTTGAATGTGAACAATTCTCAGTATATTCATTTGTAATGTTGAGAAACTGATCCTGGGTCGCTGAGAGTTTAAGATAAAATATCCACCCACCCAGCAACTCTTTCCCTTTGCTGCACTATTTCAATGTAAAACTGCTTTCTCCACGTTGTTCCTTTCATGTCGTCATTTCAAAGCTCAAACATCTCTTACTTTTCATGCTGGCAGCTTATATCTGCATACATATTTGCATTCTAAGTCATTGAGCTCACTTCCTCTAAATTTCCAGGAGACCAGCTGCTTCCCAGGCAGCATCTCTGACACAGCCTTGACTCTGTTCCCATTCTAACTGCAACACTGCAGGACAACACACACACCGCGGCTTTCATTTCAAACAGCCTTCGATGATAAGAAATGTGGGTAACAATGAGATGTCTGCATCAATAGCCCACTTCAGCCCAACATCCAAGAGTCACGTGGGATCAAACCCACATCAAAGCCTGGCCCATGTTACTATGAAAGCCCAGCAACAATGACACAATAATTAAACCACATGGATATCGAACCACCCCACTGCCACACACACACACACACACACACACACACACACACACACACACACACACACACACACACACACACACACACACACACACACACACACACACACACACACACACACACACACACACACACACACACACACACACACACACACACACACATCTCTCTCCCTCTTTGTCACAAAAATAGAAAGAGCCCCGTTTGATGTATGTCAGGACAATACAGCAACTCTTCCAAATCCTGACATGCAGCTACCTGCCACACAATACGTAAGAACATCATTTCCATCCATTTGAATGTAGTAAACACATTCAGCGATCTCATCCACTAAGCAGGCAATCATTATTTGAGGCGAAGGAAGCTGTCATAGCAAGCAGTAATGCAACAGCAATCCATAACAAAAATGCCAAAGCGCTTCCAATGTGTCGTTTAATGAGGCAATATACAAGAATATTATTTGGCTGTTTTGATTCAGCCACTTTTTTATCCATTCATGACTAGTCAGGCTCATTTACTTCATTTATCATGTAATTAATATCCAGAACGAGCCCTTTTTTTTCCACAATAGCCCTTGATTAATGTTCTTATTTTTCCTGATGGGACTGCTCTGTGCTTAATGTGTGAAGGGATTAGTTTAACTCGTTGAAGCCAGGAAGCTAAACATACCACATTATGTGGAATATACAATGAAGTATCACATACAGATTTTAGACGGATGTTTAAATATCTGATGATAATTTGTTATAATAATGGACCTTCCTCTGAATTGAGGATAATCTAATGGTGATTCCAAAACTTATGAAGGGATTTTAACGATCAAGGTAAACATCTATAACTGCGCATGACATTTTCTTCATGTTAACATATTTGAAGGTCATAACACATTGTACCTTGTGATAAAACAAGTCAATACAAAAATATCAAACATGACATAGCCTTCACACACGCACGACGCTGATGTGACAAGGTGCGTAATTGCGCGGATACTTGTTGTATACCTTTATTCCCTTTATGAGTTTGTGTGCTTTAAACTTAACTGGCATAGGAAAGGGGGGAAAGAAAGAAAATAATAGGTGTCTTGTACCTCTTCAGCATCGACCTCCTCCTCGCTGTCAGTGGGTTCCGGCGCTCTCACGAACCACCACTGGATCTCCAAATACACCGACGCTGTCGTGCTCTGGAAAGCACACGCCATTTCTATGTTTTGTCCCTCTTTAACCGTCATGTTAGAGGGCATATCCGTGAAGTGACCTGCATATAAAACAAAAAAGGGGAAAGGGGAGGGGGGCAGTTGTGTGATTTATACCGCAGATAAATTCAAATGAATTAATCACTTAAATGGTCTGCTTGTGAACGCAGCCATGAATGTGGCCGCTGACAGCAGCTGTGTAACTGAAAACAAGCGCTTGATAAAGACGTGTGCTTGTTTTAATTGAAGGAGACCCCCCCGCCTCCTCCCAAACACTCACGGAGCATCTTCATGGGAAATGTAACCAAGGCACTGTCGCACCAAAGCTAATCTAACCAGTTACTTAATTACGAGCAGGTTGGGATTTGTATGGGAGTTGTTTTCATTCTGTGGCAGTTTTCGTGCTATCTGTGACCACGATTAAAAACGAAACACTTTGAACTATAGGGCAAACAGAATAAAGTATAAAGGGAAATATACAAGCAGCAATAAAGAATATGCTTGAAGGAGCCGAAAGGGGTTACGCTTAGGAGAGGTGGCGACGATAGAAAGATTTGTGAGGATATCCGTGCATGCAAACTTCCATACCAAACCATCGTTCTAATTCTGCACAAGGAGCTACAGCGAGGCAATATATATATCGATTTGTGGGCACTTATTTTCAGATATTTTTGAAATGTGGCTGTGAGTGGTGAAAAAAGCACAGAAGCAGTTTGAAAGTGTTCATCTCAGCAGCAGCAGCAGCAGCAGCAGCAGCAGCAGCAGCTATCCGTGGTGCTGAAATCACCGGAAGACCGCTCACTTTTTATGCAAGGAGCCTATTAGAATAAATATATTTCTTAAGCAGCGAATGAATTGCATGCTGTGAAAATAGGAGAGAAAACAGCCACCCACTCCTTTCGACACTATATAGAACGACTTGATTTCAAACAATCAACAGTTGCATTGTTCGTCATCGACGGGTAAAAAACGAAACGTTCTACACCTTTCATTGTGAGCTTGCTTTTCCCTTTTATGAGCGTGTTCCAGTCCATCTCACCTGAAACATGTTCCCCTAAACAACCCCATTTGCTTTTCCGGAAAGACTGCGCACTTTTAGCACTTTGTACGGAGCCTACCATGCAGGGCAGCGAGCTCGACACGATGACACTGAGATGGAATGTTCGTTACGAAAATATGCAGTTCTTACCTTCCAAGGAGAATCCAAATTGCACGCAAATTCCGGCTAAGAAAACAAATCCAACAGTATCATGAGAGGTCCACATCATTCCAAGATAGAAAGGTTGCTTTTTTTACATCAGCCGAAAGGAGGTAAAAGGCGAACGCTTCCAAAAGAAATTGCCAGCAAAATCAAACAGTTTCTGGGCTAATATGTTTAAACGGAGATTGACGAAGGTGGAACATGCTGCAAAACTACAGATCGTCGTTGATGAAGTTCTTTTTTCCTTTCTCTGTGCCTCTGCAGGAGAGACTGTCGACTGCTTGGCTGTACTGAAGTCTGTACAATAACCGGGCTGCGGGCTTCGTCTGCGCTACCGGAGATACGTCAGTCTAGTGGATCACTGTGGCATCTACACACTCCACACCTCTGCGAATCTGGTGCTCATCCGACCCCCTTACTGTCACCTTGACCGCTTTATTTTAAAATTACAAAGTGCATTTTAGCGTCAAACACAAATGCGCATGAAGGAGCTTTATTTTGCACTGATTCAATTACGAGCGCGGAAATATTTGTTTATTGTGCTTCACTTCTTAAATAACATGGTGATTTAAACGTCATCCAATTGTACTAATTAGCGCCCCACACACAAACGCATAATGGGAAAAAAACTTCCCATCTAAAAAAGATAACATTCTTATCATAAAAAGTGTGCATATGTAGTGTGGGTGTGTCCTACTCTTGAGTGATTATGTATTCAGGACACACTCTTACCACCCGTCTCAGAGGCTATAAAACAATATTGTAGCTAGATAGTAGCAAACAGGGAGGGGGTGGAGCAGCGACCTGGCATCTGCAGGGCAATATAGCATGTCCTGAGTCATTAAGATAGAGGAGATCCAGCCGGGATATTATTAGTCTCCTGGGCGGACTGAGAACACTTTGCCCTTTGTTGCAATGGGCCCAACATGTGCCACTCCAAATGTATGCTCTTAATTGATTCAGAGACCAATCCAGGATCATCCTTTTGGGACCAGCCCTTTTCTCTTCAATCAACAAAAGTGTCCGTGGGCAGAGGTATTTAGGTGATTAGCATAATCACTGGTCCCTGCTGCCATGTGGTTCACAGAAGATCCACAACTGTACTTTCAATATTAAACTTGCTCCTGGTAAAGGACACAATGGCTTTTTTTTGTGTTTTATTATCAGAGTCCTTTTGTTATGCTGGGCTCGGTTGGGGGTATCAGCATCATTGCAGATGATAAAACAGGATCAATAGAATACTCAAAAAAGGGAGAGTTACACAGATACTAACTGTATTAAATATATCAAGAGCCACTTAAAAAAAACACAAAAAAGGGATTTGAGGGCCATACATTGTTTTTATGAACTCAAAGGCTCAGTGGTTGAGTGACTGAGGATGCCTTGGTGTCCTACTGAACAATCAGAAGGTCTTTTGTTCCAGTAGCAGTCAGATTTTTTAATTGACTTTTAGTTGTGGTCTTTAGCATTTTACAGCTGTTAATCATGTCTCAAATGGCTATTTTTGGTGGTATTTAATTGTGGTCTCATGTGTTTGTTGTTTGCTGTGAATATAATGAGTTTCCCCATTGGGGATTAATAAAGCTTTCTAATCCTATTAGTCTAAATGTAACACAGCGTTCACCCTGATGTTGGTGGTCGACTATTTTAAATGTAAGCATGCAATAATGTACTAAACAGCAAAGACCCCTTCACCCCAGCAACAGCTTTTTTTATTCCACTATAGGGGAGAGTGGGGTAAGATGAGCAAATGTTTACTTCAAAGCAAGAAAACATTTGATATAAGTCAAATGACAACAACAACAACAACTGTAATTGCAGGATGTCTTCGGCCAATCAAAATGATAATAATGCATCTACGGGCCATGAAAATATGACTTCTTGAAAAAAAGATTGTCTTGTGGCTTAACTTTCGCAATCTAAGGGGTAAGTTGTTCCGAGTCAAAGGGTAAATTGAGCCACCTGAGGGTAAATTGACCAATTGACTTTTTCAAGTTGAATCCGGAGTTGTTTGGTTGTTTCCGTCGGCTAATTCAAAGGCCAGTTCAAAGCATTTATTTGGAGTGAGGCCATGGAACTGGTCAGCCAGTTTTTTTATATGGTCTGCAAGCTCCTTCCCTCTCCTGTGTGAGACCCTCTTTGCCTCTGCTGCTCCACTGTACTGTTTTCCCTTCCTTTCCTCCTTCCTTGTTATGAACAGGGTTGACCTGTCCATATTTCTGTCTTTTGCCACTGCTCTGATCGATTTTCCACCCTTGCCATCGGTGGCTTCTCTGTCTTTCTCTTGTACTTTCTTGGCATGATAGCTTTCCTATAATGTTTAAAACATAACAAACAAATCAGTTGTTTAAAACTACATTGAAATAGGCGTGTGACGAAGTGGATAGAACCTTGGTGTTGGGATCAGGGGAGCACAGGTTCAAACCCCACTGCAGTCAGCATGTCGTTGTGTCCCTGGGCAAGACACTTCACCCCAAATTGCTCCTGTGGGGATTGTCCACAGTATTGAGTATGTAAGTCGCTTTGGATAAAAGCGTCTAACAAGTAACATGTAATGTAATGTAAAAAATTACCATTTTATACTACAGACTCAACCCAACTTCAGTGCCTCATGGGGGTTAATGTGAACAACTGGCTACATTTACCCCAAAGCATCTGGTTCACTTTGCCCCACAGCCACTTTTTTGGGAAAAAAACGTCTAGCTTAGTCATTCATGCTAATCTTTAGGTATTTGAGTCACATGGTTATACACCTTGCTAAATAACCAACATATATCTTTATAGACCTGGATACATTTGCTTTGACATAACAGTAATTATACCTGACATTACTTTACCATGTGCTTCTCTCCATCACAGCCAAATAGAAATGATGGGGGCTTCCTGAATCATGTGCACAGTTGTCTAGATAAAGGGGGAGGGACAACTTACCCACTGGCTCATCTTACCCAACTCTCCCCTACAGTATTTAATTTCACATTTTGTTTTATTGGTTCCATTTAACATGTGACTAACTTCTGCGTTTTTACTTCAACCATTTTGTCGTTGGCACTATTTTCTTGCACTATTATATGTATTATTTTCTTCTTTGTTTTGAGTATATTGAGAGTATATAAGAGCCTGGGACTTATTATTTTCATTGCCAATACTTATACGTTCATATTGTGCATAGGACAATGAAGCCTTTGAATTTTTCAGTGTTTCAGGAATGCACTAAAATGCTACCAAGCTATGTTTTCAAAGTGCAAACAGTGTTATAGACTGTATATATTGCAAGTATTCTTATTAACATTTCGCCAGTATGGTTTTTGCAACACTGTACATTTCTCCACTTTTTTTTTTTTTGTATGTTTTATTATCAGCAAACAAGTTCTCATGGTTAATAAACCAAAAGCCGTAATTACTTCAAAGAGGGTTTAGGGAGGACATTTACAGCATGTATTTCAACAAGGGACATTAGAGAAGAGAAAGGACATGATAGTAGAGTGATGAGACACGCAAGAAAGGTTCCTTGCTAGACTTTAACCGGGGGCTTTAAGATGAAATCGTCAGCATATTAGTGTTCGATGTATTTTAATGTAATACTCACATGCCTGCATAACAGGGTTTACTGTAATTGTTCCTCATGTCCATCATTTATTCCACATCCCTTTATTTAGTAATTTCAATGCACGTAAAGGGGAGAAATTCACATTTTTATATAATTTGTATTTTATATTTAAAAAATATATGTAATAAAAATGTGTCTTTAAGGAATTGAGCCAAATTATACAGCAGCAACTTGTGAAAAACATCTTCATTAAAACAATTATAAATGTGAAGGTATTCATGATGTACATTTGATTAGTTTTAAGGGTTTTGCACTTCGTGTTTGAATCCTCTTAAACTCTGCAGTTAATCCATAAAATAAATGTTAAACTACCATAATACATTACAACCTGTCAATTAAAATCTTTAGTCAGGTTCTGTGTAAGTGAAGCCGGTGTTGTGGTCAGCTTCTGACTCTTGTCATTTCAAAGTCATCCAAGCATAGAAGTCAGATGTTGACATCTGATAGTCAGCGGCTGGTGCTCAGAGGCCCGGCATGTCACAATTTAATGAGGACTTTTACGAGTCACCTTGGAATCAGGTGACTCTGCAACATGTGGGCGGCTTTAATCAAATGCACAATGAATTTGTTGAAAAAAAAATCCACAATGTCTACCTGAAAATGTGCTGTGCATTTGTATTGAAAATGAAAACTGAAAAGAGCTGAAACTCTCAGATGTAATCACTATGGGGGATTTCAGGTGAGTCTAAGGGTATTTTCTCGATTTTTAGATGTTTTCTTAAATCACCTTTTGTATGTATTTCTTCTAACATGGCACCCCATGTGTTACATATCAAAAATGTTCAAGACAATCTCTGGTCTTGCTATATATGCAAATTACTCACCTTAGAGCACTGTTTATGATGAGATAAGTAGCTCAAAAGCTTAACATTTCACATCCGATTTTCGGAAAATCTTCAAAACTCTTGTGAAAACACAAATGTACTCATGTGATCGAATTGTTTTGGTGTTTTAGATTTGGTTACCAAAGTCCTAGGATCACAAAAGCAGTGACATATTTGAATTACACTGTATATAAAATGTGTTATTCATGTCTAAAATTAAAAAAATTAAATTCGAATTTTGAGTAAAATAGGTGTTTATCACTCTACTTTCACCACAGCAGGGACTGAGATACAGTAGGACTGAATAATGACTTCATATTACATACCAAGGTTCATGTGATGTGTACAAATACAAATTGAGCATTCAAACTTTTTATTCAACCAACAATTTATTATAAATATGTTTTTTTTCAACCAACTATTTATATAAATATAAGAAACTGGAAAATCTCACTATTTACAATATTGAACATCAGAACTTTCAACCAACTATTAATTATAAATGTCAATACAGTGTCAAGGTCTTTGTCTGTCTTCCAAGACAGTGGGTCTGGCTGCTGTGAAGATGGGGGTGATGGTGTATGGGCTGCTGTGTAGGTGGGGTGTACAAGTGCAATACGAGACCTCCACGAGACCTCCTTGCTGGCTGGGTTGAAGGTGATGGCTGTGGTGGAGCCTTTGTGCTGAGGTGTATCTTGACCTAGTGGCAGCCACAGATGGAGGTGGAGGCAGCTGTAGTGATGCTGGTCTGCTGGTCCTTGGTGGTGATGGCTCTGGTGAAGGCCCTTGAGCCACAGTAGATCTTGACCTGGGGGCCGGCACAGATGGATGTTCTGGCTGATGGATAAACGCCACCTGTGGGTCACTAGGCCCAGACAGCTGTGAAACATCTCTGTAAAACAAATTAAAATGTAGGACAATAATTACATCTAATTTCATTGAAATAAAGTTC